AGTGAAAAATTAGGAGGACCGGGGAAAGTTGTACAAATAGATGAATCTCTTTTTAGAGGTCGTCGAAAGTACAACCGATGAAGACTTCTTCTTGATAATTTTATGGGGATTAATGGCATTAACAATCGTACTAACAACTTTGGTAATAGAGTTGATGGACCATGGGTTTTTGGAATGGCAGAACAAGGCTCCAGGAAAGTCAAAATGTTTCTTGTGGAGAAACGAGATAGAGACACTTTGCTGCCACTGTTGCTTGAACATGTGGATACGCAAAGAGTCATTGTCTCGGATGGATGGAAGGCGTACTGTGGATTAAACTTGTATTTTTGTGGCCACAATATGGTAAATCACAGTGAAAATTTTATTGACCCAACAACTGGGTGTCATACTCAGTTGATTGAGTGTGTTTGGAGCCACGCCAAACTTAAAATAATGGCGAATAAAAGAGGAACAACTATTTCCTTATTACAAAGCCATTTAAGCCTTTTTTGCTTTTGTTACCGATTTAAAGGATCGGAGTTTGAAGAATTTATGAGAATATTAGATGGCAAGCATTAATAAATTTAGTTGACTTTTTTTTATTTTATCAATTTATTAAAATTTATGGGGCGCCAATCCAATTGACGGATTAAAACTAAAAAATGGGGCGCCAATCATGAAATGGGGCGCCAATCAAAACGGTGCCGATAAAATTAGTAGACAAATTCGTAATATATTCGTAGATACATGTACACTTTATTACTTTATAACAAGTGATTAAGTTGAAAAACTATATCTTAAAGCTAATAAGTTGTCAAAAGTTGCCAAAATATGCACAGAGAATGGTTCATTTGTTACGATCAATATAAAAATAAAACACACCTTTTCTTTGATCCAATTGAGTTAATAATTTTTAATTATCAATAATTCAATTTTAGATATAATATGAAAAATATCGAAAAATGAATGATATGATTGCTTCTTTAAAAAATCTTAAAATTTAGATATGTGATGTACTCAGTATAACCAATAAAAATGATGTTATATTTTAGTAAGATTATTTATTAAACATAATTTAAAACACTCCTTTCGAAACTATAAAGGAAAAATTTGATAATAAAATATGGTTCACAAAGAATATTTTATTTTAAATAATACAAAGCGTTACATTAAATACAGTCTAGCCGAAGGACATGACAATATGGAATTGGATATTTGAAATGTCTAAAATAAATTAAACAAAATTTTGAAGAGTACTATGCTTCTATAAGTATAAATGAACCAATTAATAACACATCTTCATAAATTGACATACAGTATTGATCAAAAAAAAGTGACCACTTTAAAAATATGATAAATAAATTAAATAAAACATTTTTAATAATAAATCATAAAAATAACATGTTTCTATTTCAAAAATAAATAAAAATTATACTTTTATTGATAGTTTATAAAAAAATATATGAAAAAATTGTTCAAAAAAAAAGTGACCACTTTTCTCATTTTCCCTCCAAAATTGACATAAAAACGATGTTTTTGTACTAACCAATGAGTAGAAAATTTAATTTTGAAACTAAAGTGTTGATTTATGAGAATCTAAAGCAATGATTGAGTTAAAGGGTTATTTTAGAAAAAAGAAATGTTTCAAAAACTACAGTTTTTAATATTAATAAAAAGTTGTTAGAAAACTTACCAATCACCAAAAAATTTGGATTTGGTCGTAAATAACTTTTAAATAATTCATTGAAGAATGAAATTTATTCTATTTATGACAAAGATCATAAACAAAGTATTATGGAAATCAAGAGTAAATTAGAAAAAAGTTTTGTGATAACTGTTTCAAGGTCTACTATTTCAAGAGTATTGAGTAACTTTGGATTAATAACTGCTAAACCAGCTCAAAAACCTCTGTTAAGACCTTAAAACATAGTAAAAAGATAAAAACTTGCTGAAAAATTTTTAGGTATTTCGAATGATACCTTAGATAGCATTATTTTTTCTGATGAGTGCAAGTTTAATCTTTTTACATCTGATGGTATTAGACATGTTCGTTATTTACCAAGTGAAAGGTATAAATTTGAAAATACAGTAGGTATAGTTAAACATGGTGGAGGAAGTATAATATTCTGGGGATGTATATCATTTAAAGGTGTTAAAAGACTTGTTGAAATTGATTCAACGATGACAGCTAGAGTTTATAAACAAATTTTAGCTCAAAATTTGAATGTTCAGCTAGAGAAATGGGTCTTGATGAATATATTTTCATGCATGATAATGACCCAAAACACACCTCCAGACTTGTAACTGATTGGATTGATAAAAAAAACATTGATGTTTTAGATTAGCCTATACAGAGTCCAGATCTCAATCCAATTGAAGCTGTGTGGGCTTATGTAAAAACCAAATTATCAAAATTTGCTAAATTAAATAAAAATGAATTAAGAGAAAAAATTAAAGAGGTTTGGTGTGGAATACCTAATGATTTGGTGTTTAAATATATAAGAAGGTTTCATAAACGTTATTTAGAGGTTTTTAAAAATAAATGACATAATGATAAGTATTAAATTTTAAAATGGTCACTTTTTTGAACAATTTTTTTATATTTTTTAATAAACTATCTGTAAAAGTATAGTTTTTATTTATTCTTTGCTACTTAATTTTTATTTTTTTCAAAAAAATGTGTTAGTTTCGTGTTTTGTTTTCAGAAATACTAAATATTGCTTATTTACTCTTTTTTTAAGTGGTCACTTTTTTTTTGATCAATACTGTATCTAGTTTTGAACCAATAAAAAAACCTTATGGTATTCTTCACAAAATTATATCAGTATTCAATGATCATATTGACAAATTGCTTTTTATAAGATTATTAAGAGATCTAATTCTTGTTACTCCATCTTTGTTTAAACAAACAAAAATCTTGTGGATAATTTGATTATTAAAAATTATAAAAGGTTGTATTAGATTATTACTGATAATGTCTATTTCTTCCCTTCTATGAAAGATTTAGTACATGATCCGTGATATACATGGAGCTAAAATATTTTTACAAATAAATATCGAATAGTATTTTTTTAAATAAAAATTGATAGTAATGACACTTACAAGACAGCTTTTACACTACCAAATGGCTTGTATGTGTTTATAAGGATGCTTTTTGTGTCAAAAAATTCTAAACATATTTTTAAGCGTATAATCAACAAAATTTTAAATGGTTTAGATTTCGTTAAAGTATATTTAGAAGAAATCTTAATACATAATGAAAATATAGACAATTATATTCAACATTATAAAATTGTACTTGAAAGACTGAAAACCAGAATTTCGAAATAAACTTCAATAAAAGTAAATTTATTTAATCTGAAATTAGATAATTTGGGCTCATCATTTTTTTTCAAGGAATAAAAACTGTTATAAGTAAGATATTATATAATAAATCTCTACGAATTTCATAAATAAAACAGTTTTATATTTTTTTTGGGTTTGTGAATTGGTTTATGGACTTTTTACTTGATTTAACCAACATACTTTTACCCTTAATTGATAAACTGAAGAATATCTTTAAACTTTTTGATTGAACCACAAAAGACAAAATCGTCTGTTTTAAGATATTTGATTTATAGTGGTAACTAAAAAATTGCAATACCCGTAGAGGTTACATACAAAAGCAATGGCTTCAGAAACTAACAACAAATTTTTAATGTTAATGAATACATAAAAAAGATTTTATAGTTTTTTAAAATAAAGTCTTTATAAATTACATATGATGAAAAACTAAAAGTGATTGAACAAAAAATTGTAAAAAAATATTTTTTTTATTTTCTTTTTGTTTTATATTTAAAAGATGTTGTACGACGCTTATTTTATCATCAAATAATTTTTATAGCAAATGATAATTTGTACTTTAATTATTCTTATAAAGAATTTTTGAATAAAAATTTTAAAAATAAATTACTGTTAAGATAAAATTTATTATAACGAGAAGAACAGTAAAGAATACAAAGTAAATGATGATGAGATGTTAAAGTTTACCTTTAAGAGATACGAAATTCAATATAAACAACAAAAGATTTTAATTTTATATTACCTCATAATAAAGCATTTAATTAATAAAGAGAAAGCATAAAGAATTGCTTAATAAAAAGCTAACATTGATAAACTGTAAATATTAAAAAACTTTAATATCAACAATTCCATATTATTTAGTGTGATAAAAATATATTATGAATATGATAATTTTGATAGAAAACTTGGTTATGAAGTAGTTAAATTTTTTAAAATTAGAAGTAAGTAATAATTGAAAAATAGGATATAATAAATTTAAAGCGTAGATTAGAGAAGATTTAAATTTAAACTTCATAACAGGAACGATAAGGAGAAAGTTTTACCAGATATATTTTCAAGGATACGGGTTTTTAAAGAAACTCTTATTGTGTAAAATAAACATTTTTAAAAGATTTAATTTTTCTAAAAATCGATTGTGGAAGAATAATAATTTTTGAAAGTCTGTTTTATGAAGTGAAAAAACTAAAATAAATCCTTTTGATCTTGATGGAATGGTTTATGTCAGAAGACTAAAGAATGAAAGGTTTAATGAAAGGTTTATGACATTAACCATTAAATATAGTGGAAAATTATTAATGATTTTAGATTGTTTTTCATCTAAAAGTGTTAGAAACTGTGAAATTATTAAAGAAAACATGGATAGATTAAAATATACTAAAATTTAAAAAATTTATGGTCTCAATAAGAAAATTAAATATGGGATAAAATTATTTATAATAACAATACAATAACCCAAACATATATCAGTATTACCTACGGTTTTATTTGAAAATAAAGATTTTATGGTGTTTAAATGACCTTTAAACCCCTCTGGTATAAACCCAATAGAACACCTTTAGACTATTTTGAAGAGAAAAATACATTTAAGAAACTAAAGAATATTAAAGAATTAGAAAAATATATGGTTAAAGAATAGCATAAAATACCTAAAAAGTATGTAAAAAGTTTAATTTATTAATGAATAACAAATTTTTCATTGTTTAAGTAAAAATGTATTTTATTAAGTGTTAATAAATATTATTTTAATTTTTTTGTACAATTACTTTTAAATTTCATCATATGTTAATTATAAAGACTTTATTTTTAAAAAACAAAACCCGTTTTTAAAATGTATTTATTAATATTATGATGTTGTTTCGATCGGCGCTGACGTGAGTGAACTATCGATATTAATGCGTTGGTGTTCCATCGTAGTTCTAAGGTAAAGGTAATTGTTCATCTTTACTTTATACTCACTCATCCATTTATTTCTTATGTTCTTTGTCTTTTTCAAAATATAATAATTTTGCATCGGTAAAAAATTATTTAAAAATTTAAACATAAAAATGTTCTATTTAGAACATTTCATTTTCTATAACGTTTGATTCCTTATCAGGGATTACGTCAGGTTGTCCCCTTTTGAACAATTTCAGTCTTCTAAAATTAAACCATTCAAGTTTCCTTAATAAATCAATTGAGCTGAATTTTTACCATAATCTACTTGGACCACTTTAAAAGGTCCTTCATAAATACTTTCACTTTTATTTAAAAGATTTCTTCTTACTAAAACATTAGCATCTTCAAAGTGACAAACTACTCTTCCTTTATTTTCACGTTCTAAATCGTTACTAACCTGTTCTTCTTTTCTTTTAAGGGCAACTTCGATTAACTTTTCCTATCAATATCTACCCTTAAATCAAATTTTCTAACTTGAAATACCATTTCAATAGGAGTACATCTCAAAAAATGATGATAAGTACTATTTAAAGCATATGCTGTCTTTTTTACAACATCTTTAAGAAAACAATTATCGTAGATTCTTAGACATTGTCCTAAACTTCTATGAACTCTTTCAACAACTGAATTAGCTCTTGGATTGTAACTAGTTGTAGGACTATGGTAAATTTTATAACCTTCTAATAATTCTTTAAACTGATTATTAAGAACTGTGTTCCTCTATCACTTATAACGATTTCAGGTAAAGGATATCTAAGAATCCATTCATTATAAAATGTCTTAGTGATAGTTACACTACTTATATCAGAAACAATTGCAAATTCAACATATCTACTGAATACATCAATCATTGATAAAACGTAAAATTTATAATTATTTTCTTCATGATTAAGAGGGCCGTAAATGTCTATACCAACCTTTTGCCAGGGTATTTCAGCTGCAATAAAACCTTTAAGCTCGCCATAGCTTCTTCCGCTAACTTTATTGCGGGCACATTCAACACAGTTTTGTGTTACTTCTTCGATCAATTTGCTTAATCCAGCAAAGTCGAAATATACTTTCATAGTTCTTTTAAGTTTTTCTATTCCAGGATGCATTAAATCATAATGCCATAACTTTAATAACTCTCTTTCTTCATTTAAATCAAGATTATTTTCATCAGATAAGTGATAACATCTGGACAAAAAATCAGCACCAACATTTTTCTCTCCTTTGACATATTTAATATCTAAATCATATTCAGAGAGAAGTATCCTTCACCTTTGGACTCTTTGCAACTTTGATTCATCTAAGAATTGTAAGTTGGAATGATCGGTCAAAATTGTTACTTTGCTTCCATAAACGATACCTCTAAAATGCTTTAAACTTTTCACAATAGCTAAAGCTTCTTTTTCAATTACAGTATATTTCTCTTGTGCACCTTGCAACTTACATGAATATACACCAACAATTCTTCCTTCCTGTAATAGTACGCCTCCTATACCTCTGTCTGAAGCATCTGTCTGTAGCTCAAAAGGTAAACATTTCTTAACATGATACAAGTGTGCTTCCGTTTTTAAAGAATAAATTATTTTTTCTAAAACTTCTTGATGTTTAGGTAGCCATAAAATTTTATCCTTTTTTGTCTATTTCTTGTTAAATCAGTGATGTGAGCAATATGAATACTCAAATTCTTTAAGAAAGGGCGAAACCAAATAATTAAACCATCAAGCTTCATAACATCTTTAACAGTTCTTGGAGGCTTAATATTATCTAAAGCTTCAAGATTTCTTTGTGAAGGTTTTAATCCTTCATAATTCATAAGATAGCCTAAATATTCAACTTCAAAAACTACGAAATTAGATTTGTCGAGGTTTATGGTAATATTAGCATTCTTCATAGGTACTAAAACAGTTTCTACATGAGTTACATGACTCTCTAAATTAGGGCTGTAAATAAGTACGTCATCGACAAAAATTTTAACAAAATCTAAATCACCTAAAATAGTATTCATTGCAGATTGAAAGGTTTTGGGTGCATTACAAAGGCCAAAAGGCATTCTTAAAAATTCGTAATGTCCAAAAGGAAGTGTAAAAGCAGTTTTAAAAACGTCAGATTCTTTTATAGGTATTTGGTAAAACCCGCTGTTTAAATCAATCTGACTGAAAACTTTTGCACCAACAATTTATCTTAAAGTATCATCTACACTCGGAAAAAGATAACCACTTTCCATTGTAATTTTGTTAAGGGCTCTATAATCAATAATGAGCTTAATATCACCATTTTTTTATGTAGTGGAAATGCAGGACTTGCAAATGGCGAGTTTGATTTCTAATAATATTTTTAATTAATAACCTCTGAAATTCTTCCTTAACCTTTTCCCACAGCAGAGCTGGTATAGGATAAGGCTTCTTCATCACAATTTCATTGTTTTTTAACTCTATTGAATGCTCTGCGTTTCTCATCAAACCAATCTCATATGAGTTTTCTTGGTATTGCCTCATCAAGGCAGTAATACTTTCTTTGACAGCATCTAAACTCAAATAGCAGTTAATTTTATTTACTAAATCTCGATCAGGTTCCGCTAATTTAAAATCATTTGATGTCTCAAAAGGTAATTTATCATTATCTAATCTCATGCAGTAATTAACGAAATCCAAGGTGGCATATTGACTTTCAAGGAATTCCAAACCTAGGAGTAAAAGTTCTTGATTATTATCTATTACTCTAAATTTAACTTTATACTTAACATTAGTTAAAAGCTTAAATTCTAATAAAGTATTAAAAATTCCTTTAATTTTAATCCCTGATTCAATAACAGTTTTAAGGTTTTCATTATCATTTACTTCTAACAAATTCTCCTTGCAACTTAACTTATCAAGTAAACTTGAACTGATAATATTTTAGGTTGACCCGGAATCGATTATTGCTTCAGTATACATATCTGATTTATCTAACTTACACTTATAAGATAGTTTGACAACGTTAAGTCTTTTATCTTGTAGTATTAAAAGACTATTTGCGGATGTTGTGGCAGATTCCTTAGCTTTCTTCTTAATAGCCTTTCTTTTGGTTCTACAAAAACGCTCAATATGTCCTAATGTTTTACAATAATCGCAATAATATTTCTCATTAACTTGTTTGATAGGTTGAGTAGTAGGTAAACTCTTATTACTTGGTTTATCATTAGTTAATTTGAAAGTTGAAAAAGTTTCTTTAAGGTTTCTCATTTCCACTAAATGCTTTATAGCATCATCAGCATTCTTTGCTTTAGCGTGAATAACATCATTCATTTCTATATTACTCAAACCGCTTAAAAATAATCGGTATTTCATTACAGGCGTCATCTGATTATTTGTGTTTATACACAAATTATACATGTCTATTAATTCAGTATGCTTAGCATAATACTCTTCAATTTTATCAAAATGTTTACTTTTTAACTTCAGTAACATTCCTTTGTACTTACTATAGTCGGAGAAAGGATAAAAATGAGTAAGAAGAATACTCTTTACCGCACTAAACTTCTCACACGCTTTTACTAGTGTCTTCAATTGTTCTTCAACTAAGCAGGTTTTCAAGATTGCACATGACTTAAGGTCACTCCAACCACAATCCTGTTGTACCTGTTCAAAAGTTTGAATCCATTGGTAAATATCAATTCCGCAACCCGTTGTGAATTTAATCAACTGTATAATTGGTTGCTCTTCGTCAGAGAGGTAGGGTAATTTGGTTTTAAATGACAGCCGTGGAACATCATTCTTGATGTCATCGTTCTTGACTGCCATTAAGCATATTGCCTCTTGATTCAACTCTCTGTTATGCTCTTTATAGACTTTCGACTGGATATCTCTTTTTATTAAATTTAATATTGACGTGAGTGAACTATCGATATTAACGCGTTGGTGTTCCATCGTAATTCTAAGGTAAAGGTAATTGTTCATCTTTACTTTATACTCACTCATCCATTTATTTCTTATGTCTTTGTCTTTTTCAAAATATAATAATTTTGCATCGGTAAAAGTTTATTTAAAAATTTAAACATAAAAATGTTCTATTTAGAACATTTCATTTTCTATGACGTTTGATTCCTTATCAGGAATTACGTCAGGCGCCTTAAAAAGTTTTGGCGCCCCTCGATCGGATTGGCGCTTCAAATTTTATATAAAATAAATTCTAATAAAATTTTTTAAAAAAAACCCTTATAATTTATGAAACATTGCTGCGGATTTTTGTGAATAAAGAATCTTCTTTGACTTTCCTAGAGGAAAGTGGCTATCTAAAATCTATGGTCGAAAGGTTTGTAAATTTTGCGCAGCAACAGACTCTTTGTAAGGTCAAGAAAGAGAGTTGAGCAGATGCACTTCTTTCTCCGATGCAAATCGTGTCAAAGAGAATAAAAATTCTTCGAAAATATTTTTTTGTTATGAAGTAGAGAGAACACTAATTGCTATACCTACCCAGATATTTATTAAGCTAATATTCCTTTATTTTAAGGGTGGGACGGTAAATATGTTATGTCTATCATTCAAATTAAAGGAAAAGAAGATGTAATCAATTGGACAAACACCATAAGGTTGCAAACTCATGATTATATCATGAGTTGAAAACTAGGAGGAGAAGGTAAAGTTGTACAAATCAACGAATCTCTGTTTAGAGGTCGTCGAAAGTACAACGTGGCAGATTGCTTCTTGATGACTTTATGGAGAGTCTTGATTATGCTCGCCCTAAAAATAATTATGGTTAACATGTCAATGGACCATGGGTTTTTGGCATGGCTGAAGAAAGATTTAGGAAGGTCAAAATGTTTGTTGTGAAAAAGAGAGATCGTGATTCTCTGCCTCCTCTCCTACTTGAACGTGTGGATAAGAGTAGCATTATCTACAGTGATGGCTGGAAAGCTTATTCCGGACTAGGTACTGTGTTTAACGACCATAAGGTCGTTAATCATTCTGAAAATTTTATTGACCCCAATACTCGTTGCCATACTCAATTAATTGAGTGTATTTGGGGTCAAGCAAAATTGAAGATAATAAAGAATAAGAGGGGAACTACCTTTACAATGTTACAAGGCCATTTGAGCTTTTTCTGTTTCTGTTATCAATTTAAAGAAGAATCTTTATAAAATTTTTTAAAAATAATAGAAAAAGATAATTAGGATCAAGTGCAAAAATGAAATAAAAAACTTAAATAATATTTTTAAAAAAATTTTTAAACCCATGATTCATTGGTTTAGTAGTATAATAGAACCCTTAGTTAGTGGTCTTGTAGAAGACCTGATAGAATTTCTACGTATTAAAGGCATACTCAAAAGGTATGTAAAGTGTGAAACATGTCTTCTAGATATGAAAACAAAATCATACACTAGAAATAGTGATGGTGTGGCGTTCAGGTATTGTAATAGAAGTTGTAATGACTTTTCTAAGTATGTTTCAATACGCACCAAGTCACTACTATTAAACTTTACTGTACCTCTGAGAGACTTTTTATTAGTGGGTTGTAAATGGTTTTATAACCATACTCATGTACATTTAGGTATTGAGGTGAATATTGGGAAAAAGTCAATTATTTAATACATTGATTTACTTCGTAATCAATGTTTTAAATATAAAACAAAAAATCCAATTCGTCTTGGTGGTGATGGTATGATTGTCCAAATAGACGAGAGTTTATTTAGACATAAACAAAAATATCATCGAGGTAGATAACCAAAAAGAGAGATTTGGGTATTTGGACTAGCTGATTGTTCATTTACTCCGGCAAAAATCTCATTGTATGTTGTTCCTAACAGGACTGCTAACACTCTACTACCAATAATAGAACGAGTTTGTGCTTCA